GAGAGAGCACTACCATTGAGAGTCCTCCAGCCTCTGAGGGGTCACAGGAGACCGAAGAGAAGGGAAGGTCCTTGTAGAGCAGCTAGCTGATCTTAGGGGAGGTCTCTCTCTCTCCTCTTTCCTTCCTTCCTTCTTCTTTTACCTTTTTTTTTTTTTCCTGAAACAGGGTCTCACTATGTAGCTCTGGCTGTCTTGGAACTCACTTTGTAGACCAGGCTGGCCTTGAACTCACGGAGATCTGCCTGCCTCTGCCTCTTGAGTGCTAGGATTAAAGATGTGAGCCACCACACCCAGCCTGTCTCCTGACTGATCACTCTCTGAAGGCCCTGCCACCTTCCCGTTATGAAACTCGTGCTTGCGCGGTCTCACTCTCGGCCACCTCCTCTCCATCTTCCACAGGACTTCTGGTTCTCTTAGGACCTGTTACTGTCCCCACAACTGGCTTCTCCACTGCCCTCCAGTCCCCTTAGCTACCAGCTCTCCCCTGGATCTTCTCTCTGGCTCTGATGGGGCCTTGTTCATAGGCCAAGAAGGAGAGGCTGGGACAGCCCTTCTGAGCTCTGCCCTCCCCAGGGGGAGGGGAACACACCTGTTTCACGACTTCTGAACTCCAGACATTTCCCAGAGGCTCTGGGTCCTGCCTCAGCTACCCAGAATAGCCCCAAGGTGTCAGGTGGCGCCCGGGTGCCAGGGCGTGGGGCGGATTCATGGGAAATGTCACTAGGTTTGAGTTTGAAGCCGTTGCCCTGCGAACCTAGACACCGAGTCTGTGCGCACTTTGGCTGGCTGCCAGCCCTGTGGACTGTGGTGTGCCGGCCTGGCCTTCTGACTTGAGGCAGTGTGAGGAAGGGCTCTGGGGACTGGCAGAGGAATGAGATCCTCAGTGGACGCTGGCAGCTCCAGAGCTGGGGCTGTGTGGGGAGCTCAGGGTCTGTGGAACATTCACCTAAGGAACAAGGACGAGAAAATGCTGCGGCTCCAGAACGTGTCCCCCTCTGCCAGGACCCCAGCAAGAAGGAAGGCTGTGGCCTCCCATCCTTCTATCCCCCATCCCGGTTTTCCTCTGAGAAGTCCTAACTAGAACCTTAAAGGTTCTTAGAGATGAACTCAAATCCTCATTCTGTAGCTGGGGCAAACTGGAGCCCAGAGAGGGTGATCTACTTGTCAGGGCCACAGGGCAGGGTCAGACAGAGATCTAGGGTCTGGTTTGGCCAGGGGCTCCGTAGGTTTGTTCCCATATCCAGGATGAAGTCCCTCCAGGCAGAGAGCAAGGGAAAGGGGGGAGGGAGCCTCCGCTCAGCACCTGCTGTGCCTTGGCACAGGCCCTTTGCACATGCCACTCCCCCGAATCCTGGGAGGCACCGTGCTAGAATGCCCTGCAGAGCCCCCTTTTGCAGTTGGAGAAACTGAGGCCGAGGGTGATGGAGTTGGCGCGAGATCACCATGACGTAGACAGAGGAGGCAAAGCCACAGCTTATTTCTGCCTGGCCCGAGGCTCTTGCTGTTCAGTGTGGGCTTGGGACAGTCCCAGAGAGGTGCGCTCAGAACCGCTTCTGCGGGACCAGGTCTAGGGGTGTTCAGGGTGTCCCCTTCCTTTTGGGTGCTGCCTCTAATCACTCAGAGTGGAAATACTGAGGGAGGAGAAGGTCGTGTGGGACATGGACCATGGGCGGGCTGCTCATCCCTGCCAGTGGAACAGAGAACAAAGTGATTTGAGTGGGATTTCATCCAGGCTGGTTTTTACAGTGTGCATGGCTGCCTTTCACTCGGAGAGGATGCCCTGCCTGGGGGAAGTGCTCCACCACTGATCTCAGCTCCTCCTCCTCCTTCTCCTTTACTTTTGGAGACAGGGTCTCCTGAGGTCATCTAGGTTGTCTTCTTAGCCCAGACAAGCATTGGGCTTTCAGTCTCCTGTCTCAGCCTCCGAGGAGCTGGGATGACAGGTAAGTGTTACCAGGCCCTGATTCCTTTTCTTCTTGGTTTGTTGGATTTTGTTTTTTCAAGACAGGGTTTCTCTGTGTAGACCTAGCCCTGGCTGTTTTGGAACTCACTCTGTAGACCAGGCTGGCCTCAAACTCACAGAGATCCACCCACCTCTGCCTCCCTAGTGATGGGATTAAAGGCATGCGCCGCTGCCACCCGGCTGCCTGCAAGCTCTCTTTAGTGGACATCCTGCGGATGCTCCAGCCTGGGTCACATTCGTTGACAGGTCTCCAGCCACCACCCTCCCTGCTTTTGTCCTCAGGTATCCCTGGCTCTGTGGGATGGGGTTTCCTGGGGGCAGTCATCTGAGACAGGTGGGGGCTGTGTGTCACATGCCAGGGCTTAGCATGAGGAGTCAGGCTACCATCTCCCAAGCCCAGCCCCTTCCCCTCATTCCAAGCCCCCTCGCTCCTGGGCTAAGAAGCCCCTGGTACACAGGACACGGTGACAGCACCCAGACCCCCGGGGGAGATTAGCTGAGAAGCGAGAGAGAGCACTACCATTGAGAGTCCTCCAGCCTCTGAGAGTCCTCCAGCCTCTGAGAGTTCTCCAGCCTCTGAGGGGTCACAGGAGACTGAAGAGAAGGGAAGGTCCTTGCAGAGCAGCTAGCTGTTCTTAGGGGAGGTTTCACAACCCTCAGAAAATGAGATAGCGGATGTGACTTGGTGCCCTACTAACCATTCTAGATGTAACCCAGGCAACTTTGTTTTGCCTTTTCTGAGCCTCAGTTTCCCCATCTGCTTAATGGTCACAGTATTGGTGTCTCTCCTTGCAATAGCCGAAAGGATAGCGCGAAGTCATGGTGGGTAGACATCCAGGTCTGGAGCCTGGCACACTGTGGGTGCTCAAGAAAAGTCCCCAGTTTATCTGCCTCCTCCTCTTCTTCTATTCCCTTCTCATCAAAGCACCCAGTGTAGACCTAGACACAGCTCAGTGTGCAGTGAGTGGGGACACCATTAGGATGCCACCCTCCTGTCAATGTTTAACCACAGTTCCATGGACAGAATGAGCCTCTGGATTCCTTCTAGCATGAAAACATCAGTAACAGAAAATAGAAGGAAATCTCCTCTGCAGCAGGTACTGAGTGTTCAGAAGGTCACGTCCCTGGGCTCTGCTCAGCCTTACTGTGTCCCTGACACCCACGGCAGAGTACTGCAGGGGAAGAAGCCAGGGAATTGCTTCCAGTTTGGAACTCCACCTGCCACACCTGCTGTGTGATGGTGAATGAGTTTCCTAACCTCTCTGGTTCATACCACACTGTCCTTTGTGGACCAAACGAAGAGCATGAACTGGGTGTGTTAAGAACCCTAGGCTACAGCTCTGTGCCCAGGGCATCTGGGATGGTAGTTAGGACTGTCAGGGACAATGGGAGCTCCTGGAGTCTCTAGGCTGTAGGGCGTGCGTGCATGTGTGTACACGTGCATGAGAGAGAAAGAGAGGATTTCCTCTTTCTCTCTGTAGGGCACCAAGCCTGTGAAGGGGACTCCAGGGCATAATTCCCCTACATGAGTCCCCCACCCCTGAACAAAAGTTTCAGGGTACTGCTCCAAAGTTGTCACACTACTTGGAAGTGGTCCCAGGAGCTGGCCTCCCACACTGAAACCTACCCAGCGAATTTCCCCAGGCCCCCCTCAAGGTGAAGGCACCAGACCCCAGCACCAACTCACCGATGGCTGTGAGGAAGAGCCCAGCCTGGTCAATGGGGGCGCTGCCCTCCTCATCATAGTAGTTGACGGTGACCTTGGTGGGGAAGCACACAGGGGAACAAGAGAAAGGGGCAGAAGGTCACAGGTTATAGTGAGAAACAAAACAAACAAACAAAACCCAGAAACAACCCCTACCTCCCAGCTATCTCTAAACACAGGGCCCCCTCCTCCAGGAAGCACCCCTGGGCTGCTGAGATGCTTCTCACAGATAATCTAACAGGACAAGGGGTTACTCTCCCCTACCTGACCTCTGCCCTGGCACATCACCCCGTTTCCTGGGCTGACTGTGCTGTGTGTCCAGCTCCAGCTAAGCCCCAGGGGCTCCGCTGTTCCTTTGGATGGTGCCTGGTGCCAACATGGCAACAGGTCTAGAGCAGTGTTCACGAGAGAGCCCAGAGTGAGGACCACCTAGCTTCAGCTACCTTACCTGGGCAAATCACTTTGTCTCTAATTGCTCAGCACCCCACTTTACAGGCAGGTCTGGGTTGCTATGGATATAATCGCCAATCATTCTATGAGTCTGAGAAGCTATTTTTTTTTTTTGTTGTTGTTGTTGTTTAAAAAAAAACAACAACCCAAAACAAACCAAAAAACAGGACTTGCTGCTATATGACCCCGGCTAACTTCAACACCGTGATGCTCCTGCCTCTTAGGTGCTGAGATTACAAGTGTGCATCCCAAGTCCTGGCCTCTCTTTCCACATGTGCATTTTGAAACACTCTCACCTTGTAGCTCTGGCTACCCTGGTACCAAGTAGCCGAGGCTGGTCTCAAGCTCACAGCAATCCCCCTGCCTCAGCTTATGCTTCCTTCAGCTCTCTGGGTTTTCCTTTCTTTCTTCCTGTACTAGGAATTGAACTCAGGGCTTCACACATGCTAGACACACAACTACTGAGCATTAGTTTCATGAGAGGGATTATTTTATGTGGATGAGGTTTTGCCTGCATGTATTTTTGTGTGTACCACATGCAGGCCTGGTGTCTTTGGAGGCCAGAAGAAGGTGTCAGATCCCCTGGAACTGGAGTTACAGAGGGTTGTGAGCCTCCATGTGGGTGCTGGGAATTGAACCAGGGTCCTCTGGAAGAGCAGACAGTGCTCTAACCACTGAGCCACCTCTCTGGCCTCTAGCTTTCACTTTCTGTGTCAGGGTCTCGTATGTTCCACGCTGGCCAAAGCAGGCCTTGAGCTCCTGATCCTCCTGCCTCCACCTCTCAAGTGCTGGGGTTACAGGTGTGCAGCGCCACACCTGGCCATTTCCTTCCCTGTCTTCACTCTGCTGATGTGGAAGGACTCTATGGCTCGCACTGTTTTTATGACTCAGGCTAATGTGCTGCCCCCTCCACAAGACTCCAGCACGACCCTGGGCTCTCTGGATATTGACTTCCTGGCCACGGTACCTTGTCACTGCTGGCCTCTGTGCTGGCCTGGGCCATGCTGAGCCGCAATGTGGTGCTGGGTGAGAGGGCCCAGCGCTGCTTGCCATTGCTGACCACCTCCTCGGCCTCCCCGTCACGGACCACCTCCACCTTCACCCCCTCCGAGTGCTTCAGGCTGAAGGTTTTGGCCCCGGCAGGGGCTGCACTGTAGGGAGAGAGGACAGAAGGTCAGAGGGAGCCTGGGCTAGGGGGACAGGGGCCTCGGCAAGAGAGTTCCAGTGGGTAGGGCTCCCAGGCTGTGTGGTCTGGGGGACCCAGGCAGACCTGGCTATGATGCCGTGACCTGCTGGTGGCAGGAGACTGTGAAGGGCACAGAGTCCTGGGCCAGTCTTGCACCTGCCGAGTGGGAGTCCAGGAACCTCGAATCTCTCTGTCTCTCTCTGTCTCTGTCTCTTTGCTATGCTAGGCAAGTTCTCTGCCACTCAATCATGACTTTAGCCTTAAGACCAGAAAATGTTTTCTTGTTAGATAAGAGTATTTTCATGCCACTCAGGCCAACCCCAAAGTTGTCACCCTTCTACTTTAGCCTCCCCAGTGCTGGGATTTTTAGGCTTGACTTAGGCTCTGATTCATTCATTCATTCATTCATTCATTCATTCATTTATTCATTCATTCACTTATCTATCTATTTACTTATTGAGACAGGGTCTCTTGTAGGTCAGGCTGGCCTCAAATTTGCTAAGTAGGTGAGGATAACCTTAAACCTTTAATTCTCCCACATCCACCTCCATAGGCTGAATCATGGGCCTGTGTCGTCGTGACTGGTTTATTCCATGATGGGACTGAATGCAGGATCTTGGCCATGCTGAGCAAGTACTTTACCAACTGGGTTTCATTCTATTTTAGGCCTTGGATTCTTCCTGGGTTCCTGATGGCTCTGCAGATGGGTGACCAGCTTTGGGAGCACGGGGCTCTATAAGGTGGAGGACAAGCCTGGACCCAAGGATGGTTTTGCTCCAGAGGCTGGGCCTGGAACCCCACCTCCCTGCCTGCTGTCACTGGGGACTTAACAGGATGGAACCGGCCCCGTAGTGGAGAGGACTCTGTCTCAAAGATCCCCGGGCCTGGAATGCCTCACCACTGAAGGTCATGTCTTGGGACTCACACATGGCTTCCTGATGAGAAGGAAATGGTCTGAGAATTGTGAGACCTCACCAAGACTTAGGGCAGGGAGGGCACTGGCTCGCACTGGCTGCTACGTACGGAAATTTACGTTGCCCCAGATTCATATGCTGACATTCTAACTCCAGCAGGGTGATGTCCGGAGACCTTCAGGAGATGGCGAAGGTTTCATGGGCGGAAGTGGGGTGGGGATGCCAGGGCTGGCAGTTTGGGTACACCCAGGTTTGAAGCTTCTTAAGGACCACAGTGGGTCAAGGGGCTCTGGAAAGACTCCTGTGGGATTTGAGATGATGACAGTTCCAGCCTGAGTGTGTCTCAGGGGTACAGCTGCTGCTCTGGGGGCCAGGGCTCCAAGTTCCAGGAATCTCAGAAACACTGGGGTGCTTTTTACATTTTCAGGGCATTTTCCTTTCTTTAGGTTTTTGCTATTGGATCCAGGGTCTCCATATGTAGCTTTGCCTGGAATTCATTATGTAGACCAGGCTGGCCTTGAACCTGAACAACCTTCTTGAGCATTCTTCTTTCTTTTCTTTTTCTTACTTTTTTCTTTCCTTTCCTTTCCTTTCCTTTCCTTCCCTTTCCTTCCTTCCTTCCATCCTCCCTTCCTCCTTCCCTCCCTCCCTCCTTCCCTTCCTTCCTTCCTTCTTTCCTTTCTTTCTTTTCCCTACACCTACAGACTTAGGGGTCCCATCCCCTAAGAGGCTGTCTGTCTGGGTCAGGTGAGACGGGCAGAGACAGGCAATGAAGCAGGGACCCAGCTGAACAAGAGGCTTAAGCCTGTGACTCTCAGATTTAGCATTAGCATCAGCAATGTTAGCTAGAGGCTTTGTCCAAACAGACTGTTGGGTCCTAAGAATGTACATTCTAGCAACTACCGAGGCCACAGTTCGAGAACCACTGATGTAACTAACCTTCAGCAGCGTGGTCTGGTTGTTCTAGCCCGGGAGTGAGCTATCGTGAGTCTGTAGAGTCTGCCAAGCAATCCATTCTTGGTCTTTTGGCTAAAATAAAGTGGAGGGTGCTAGAGCCCTGCCCTCCTTGACTACTCCATCTGGCTTTATACATCAAGCTTCCGCATGCAGTTCTGAGATAAGGATGCTTTACAAACCACATTGAAAGTACCATCTCCCAGGACCCGGTTAGTCCCCTGCCTCCATCCCTCTGAGCCAGCAAGAAACCAAAGAAAGGAGCATCCAGTGGGTTAACACTGGGCCACATCAGAGCTCCCTGGCCCCCGCCTCCCACAGCCCCACACCAGCTCTGCTTGAGGCTGAGCAAACAGCTATTCTTGGAGCAGCCCTGGCAGAGGCCACAAAGACGCCATTGTCCCGTGTGGATCCTGTTGGCTGCCTCCTCCCTGGAAAGATCCTGCTAGAATCCCCTGCAGAAACCCAAGAGCCTGGGGCTACAGATGGCTTGGGGTCCCTAGAGGCTATGGGACAGTATCGAGGGAGGGAAAGGAATGGAGTGGGGTGGCTATGACCTCCTGGCTTACTGGAAAGAGTCTAAAGAAAGCATGCATGGGACAGGAGGCGGGCCCTAAGGACATGTCCACACTGTGTTCCAGCACCCAGGACATAACAGTAAATGAATGAATAATTGCTTCCTGATTGGCTTTGCAAGCTGGTATCAGAGCATTTTTTTTAAACGTTTATTAATTTAGTGTGTGTGTGTGTGTGTGTGTGTGTGTGTGTGTGTGTGTGTGTGTGTGTGCTCGTGTTTGTGTGTGTGTATATGTGTGTGTACAAGTGAAGACTAAAGGT